CCCCGCCCCGAGCCGGCTGCGCCCGCCGCCGGGCCGGAGCGGCGGAAAATGAACCCCGCGGCCGCGGCCCCGCCGCCGGGCCAGCAGGTCATCCACGTCACGCAGGACCTGGACACGGAGCTGGAGGCGCTCTTCAATGCCGTGATGAACCCTCGGCCCAGCTCCTGGCGCAAGAAGATCCTGCCCGAGTCCTTCTTCAGGGAGCCCGACTCGGGCTCGCACTCGCGGCAGTCCAGCACGGATTCGAGCGGGCCCCCGCCGCGCCCCGCGCCCGCGCACGTCCGGTCCCACTCCTCACCCGCCTCGCTGCCCGGCGCGGGCCCGGCACCGCAGCACGGCCACCTCCGGCAGCGCTCCTGCGACGTGACGGACGAGCGGCCGCTGCCGCCGGGCTGGGAGATGGCGCTCACGCAGACCGGACAGCGCTACTTCCTCAAGTGAGTGCGGGCGGGCCCGGCCCTGAGGGGCGCTCGCCGTGAGGCGGAGGGGACCGCGCCGTGAGGGGGACGGGGGAGACCGCGCTGTGAGGGGACCGGGGGAGAGCGCGCCGTGAGGGGGACGGAGGGGACCGCGCCGTGAGGGGGACGGGGGAGGCCGCGCCGTGAGGGGGCCGGGGGAGACCGCGCCGTGAGGGGGATGGAGGGGACCGCGCTGTGAGGGGGATGGAGGGGACCGCGCTGTGAGGGGACCGGGGGAGACCGCGCCGTGAGGGGACCGGGGGAGGGCTCCGGGCCTGAGGCGGGCGCCACATTCGGGTGGAAAATCTCTCTCTTCCCCGGGAGCGCTCCGGGAGCCTCACCGCGTTTCTTTCCCGCTTGGCCGCGCGTCCGAAATTCTGAAATTAATTATCTGGGAAATGAGTTCAGTGAGGGTTGTTCTGGCGGRTTTGTGGAACGGGGCAGCGGAGCTGTCGGAGGGGGAAGCGGCTGTGAGGGGTGGCCCGGATCCGGCCGCGGGGTGTTCAAAGCATCTCCGTCTGCGCCTTGTTCTAGGGACAGATTGTAAAAAGTGACGGGTTTTGAAGCCGATGCGTCTTCCTTGCGGTCGCTTTTGTTAGAGCGTGTTGTTTGTGGCGTTTAACATTTGATTTAAAGCGGTTTTATAGGCCTGAAAATATGGAATCGCTGTAATAAGTGGTAAGGCAAGAGTGCCTTTTTTATTTTGGTAGATTCTTTAACTCAGCTACAGATTCATTGCAAATTGAGTGGCACTGCGTTAACTTGGTAAATCAGGTAAAATGTTTGCTAACGGAATGAAACATTTAGTGATGAAGCATCTACCTGAGGATATTGAGGGAGCTCACCTGCCAGAGCTCCAGGCTGTTTGGTCAGAAGAGTAAAATCTCCAGTTCACATTAAACTGTGTGTGTGGGGGTATTCAGCCTTCATAAACGGCATATGCACATGTGAGGGGRAAAAAAAAAAGAGCAAACTGTTTTCAAAAGTGAAAAAAGTAATAATTTACTTGATTTTATAATGATTTCTTTGCCTCGTGGATTTGGAATCTCCAGTGCATTACTCAAGAGCCAGTCTCTGAATTACTCGGTGCAGAGTTCAGGTTTTTGCCTTTTGTCACCCTCTAGCAGCTACCAGCAAAGCGTSTCAACACCTTTCTGTATGCTACTCTGTATTGTTTGTGATCCTGTGTGCGTATGTCCTGGGATCCACACTTAGAAGTTTGTTATTAACGTGSTTTATCACCCAAATGAGAAGGTCTCACGTCCCACATTTTGCAAGTATTTTTCTCGATAGAGCAAGGACAGAGAAGTAGCTGACTGACCGGAGCACGGTAACAGACCATTCATAAATAATTATTCAGTATAAATTCTTGCTTGGGTTTGGCCAGGGAGTGTTTTCAGATACCTCTGGCTAAAAATTGCATAATACAAYCGTCGTCTGCTTTGTGCTTTTTGACTGATACCAAAAAGAGCTCATGCTGTTTCACCTTCTTGTCTGAGTTAGGCACAGTTTTCCAAGTCGATGGATTCTTTTTACTTAGACCAAAAATGCGAGGCCTTATTAAATAAAAAACATGGGTAAACACTCAAAGTATCTTTAATTTTTTTTTTCCAAATCCTCTCAACAGTAATAATCTGATTAACAGCATCTTTTTTTTTAATATACAATATTCATTTTGTATGTGATTTGTTACCAAAGTTAATCTTTGTTTTGTTTCCCCAGTTTTAGCTGTCCACTAGAACTTCTCATTTATATAAAGGCATAAAGAAACACATCATTCCAATTAATTTTTAATGTATTTCATTGTACCCCAGTGCTTTGGGGAATAATATTTAGCTATAAAATGCTCACATATGAACTGTAGTATTTTACAAGTGGTGTCATATTTGTCAGGTGAAAATATAATTTAAGATTGATTATGGAGAGCAGCATTTAAAGCTGTGTGCAGTGAAATAGAGGGTCTGAGTCAGGGTTTGTGCTAAAACTAGGGTACAAGGTTACGTTTGCCTGTATTCAAGGAAAAAAATAAAAAGAGCTAGTGCTTTCCCAGCATAACGGTAATGATTTGTTTCTTGGCATTAGCAAAGGAAAATTGAGAAACCCATTTAGAGTAAATAGCCACAATAGGTCCTGGTAAAGTCTTTGTTGAAGTTCAGAATGCAGTTTGTCGTATTTAAACGTATTTTCAATAATTATTTAACAGAAGWACTTGTGGGAGTCTCAATGAACAGCAAGCTAACCTTGTTGACAGGACATCAGCTACAGCTTGAAGCAGTTGCACTCCTGCATGTCAGTTCCTGCAGAAATTTTCTGGCTGTGACTGGAAGAAACAAAAGTAGCCTGGGGACCACTCCACCCTGTAATTAAATACCAAACCGCACAAGTGGGGGCTGAAAAACAGGCTAATAAGCACACACTTGCAGCCATGTTATCTAAAGCATTTTTCTCTGTGTGCATGTGTGGAAAAAAATGTGATTAATTTCTGATAAAAAGCATTTCTGCACAGACAGGCAAACTCCCTGCTCTTATGCCTGTGAATGGGGAATGCCATTTGCATGTCGATCACACGCTGGACTGTGTGATATGTATTGTGTAAAAAGAATATTTCAAGCGCTACTTTATGCCAGTTTGAGGTTAGGTGGTGCGGCTTCATATTTCAAATGAAGACCGGGGATTTAATATTTTCTCAGTGTTTATAGGGAGCTTAGACTCTCATAAACAGATAGGTGAAACTGTTACCACTGTAAATCACTGCAGGACGGCTTATCACTGATTCCTTGCACTCATAGTCCTTGGTCAAGTAATTCTTGAAGGCTGTATTAAACTGTTTTGTTTCGGAAACCAAAAACAGTATTTGAACTGATAGCCTTAAATTTTGTGTTGGCTTTTAAAGAAGCTCTCAAAACTTCTTGATTGATGAATTTTCTCAGTCTTCACCTTGACCTGAACACAGCAGCACCTGAGCAAAAGGAGAATCATTGGGAAGCCAACCTAGGCCGAAGGAAACTGCAGTTYCTGTTGTGCTGCTGAGTGTGTCTCTTTGGAAGTCACATCATTTCTGTGTGCCTTCCTTTCTGGACTTCATTTCAGCATCTGTTCTTATCCATGAGAACATTTCTGTGCATTGAAGCAGACAGTGTGCAGTAGAAAACCTTAAMTATGCTTTGTGGAAGCTGTTTGTTACAACACCAGCTCACATCCTCTCATAGTGGTGCCATTCTGAGTGGATGTACAGCTTGCCTTCCTTCCCATGGATCAGCTCAGACTTGAACCACCAGAATATCATAGGCAGTTGTTGGTGATTCTTTACTGATTGCTGCCAGCAGCACAAGTTCAAAATCCCTGGAAAGGGCTGCAGTTTGCTCTTTAAATACACTTCTGCTGTCAGCTCGTTTACAAATAGTTTGTGCAAACTGCAGCAGCTCCCCCAACACTTTTGGAGATGGAACACACAGGTGTGTTTGTACAGGGAAGGCACCTTACCCATCTATTAGATTTCCAGACCGTATTTCACTTGATAAAATCATTTGGGCAATGTGCATTCAAAGTCACCTTTTTCTAAAAAGAAGGAAAGAAAAAACCTGAACTGTGGGGTTTCTCCACACCCAGAACTCAAGCCCTCAACCTTTGTAATGTTGAGGTAGAAATGCCACAGTTATTTTCAAAATTTCTTAAAATCCTTTATTCTTAAATGCTCCAGGAATGAAATTAACTGCCACTTGAGAAAGGCTTTGGACTGTCTGCTTAGTCAGACTGTTGGAATAAAAGCAGTTTTTCTCATTTTGACCCTGTTCATATGTCACTCTTTCAGAGTGTCGTGTGGACACTTCTGGCAGTGCCCTACCTTCAGTAGGTGTCTGGAGTCAAACAAAGCTTTGCAGCAGTGACTGAGTAAAGCAGTTTTTCTCATTTTGACACTGTTCCATGTCTTCTTTCAGAGCAGTTTTGTCGTGTGGAYRCTTCTGGCAGTGCCCTCACCTTCAGTAGGTGTCTGGAGTCAAACAAAGCTTTGCAGCAGTGACTGAGTAAAGCAGTTTTTCTCATTTTGACACTGTTCCATGTCTTCTTTCAGAGCAGTTTTGTCGTGTGGAYRCTTCTGGCAGTGCCCTCACCTTCAGTAGGTGTCTGGAGTCAAACAAAGCTTTGCAGCAGTGACTGAGTGCAGCCTGTGCTGTGTGGGATTGTCCTGCAGCTCTGTGGGGAATGTGGAAAAGGTCAGCCTTTGGGAGCTGAGGAGGAGAATTTGCTGTGGGAGTTCTTCACAAAAGGGTTTTTATTTAACGTTTGGTTTTGATGGTGCATTTCCCATTTCATGTTTTTCTCGTTCTGCATAGGTTCTCTCAGCCCTGGCATCACCAATTTAGATAAATGTTAGATAAAGCTTAATTTTAGATAAAGCTTAATTTTATCAGAGGTGGTGGAGGGCTCTGCATCTTTATTCGTGTTTTATAGTTGGCATTTTGATTTTTGTCTGTTACTGAAAGACTTTATGGCAATGGAAGATCAATGAAATCGTGCTGCTGCAAGACAACAGAAAATTGTTAAACTCTGTGTAGTTATACATCTTCTGAATTATTTGGTGGATTTTCGATTATGTTCATGCTGTATATTGATAGTCAAAGACTGCTCAAAACACTCGTTAAATTTTGAGATTTTGACATGGTGTTTTTTAGCAATTATGCCAGATCTTTCTCATAACAAGGAGTAGGACAGTAAAGGGTGAAAGAGAAGCACAAGTTTGCAGAAAAATTAACGGGGGTGCAATGAAGATACAGGAGCACTGTCTGTCTTTTGKGCTACTTTTGCTGCAGACACTGACATACATTTGCATTTGGGTACTTTGTGCTACTGGCTGGTTTGCTTTACTGAAAGCATGCCTTCTGCTGAGGATATTGTCTCATGAACATTTCCTTTTTCTGTCAGGATGGCTTCTACTAGAACAATATTTTCAGTGATCTTTTTTTAACTTGCAGAAACAA